CTGGCATTTGGTATTGTTACTGTTTTTTATTTTAGACGTTCTGGTAGGTGTGTAGTGATATTGCATTGTGGTATTGCACTTTACATTTCCTTAATGGCTAATGATGTGTCAAACATGTTTTTATATGCTTATTTTTCATCCGTGTTTCCTTTTGGTGAGATGTCTGTCTGTGTCTTTTGTCCATTTTCTAATTGAATTCTTTGCTTTTTTTTGACTCTTAAATTTTTAGAGTTCTTTATGTATTCTAGGTACAAGACTTTTGTTGGATATGTGATTTACAGATATTCTCACCTAGTCTGTGGCTTGTCTTTTCATCTTCTTCATAGGATCTCTTGCAGAGGCATACATTTTTTATTTTGATGAGGTCCAATTTATGAGTATTTCCTTTTATGGATCTTGCTTTAGGTGTTAAATTCTAGACTAATATTGAATTTAGTCCTAAAATGACTTTGCCTTTTTTTCCCCTTGCTGTATAAATAAATGTTAGAACATAACGTTGAATTTCATGCTCTTGGACCTTTTAGCATCCGGACAAGTGGACTTAGAGAAAATAGATTGAAACTAAAAGGATATAAAACTTGAGTCTGCTAAATTGGGATAGTATTCAGTTAAAATATCCATTACATTGTTCTGAAATTGTTGCTGATGGTGTTAGTGTGGTTTAGGGTGTGTGTGAGTGATCGTGTGTACCGTAATTGCTCTGTGCATGTATTTTATCATCTGAGAAGCTCTGCGATGTAGATCTTATCTCCATTTACACTTGTGCGTGTGTGCACATACATAGATAGTTGTTCCTGTTTTACAGTTGAGGAGACTGAAGTCCAGGAAAGTTCAGTAATTCTGCACATGGTCCTATAATGAATGAGCGAACCTGGACTTAAAGCCCGTTCTTTTTGGCTCTGAAGCCTACACTGTTAACAGCTGCACTGCGTCTTTTGTTGCATTGTGTACCTTGTGTAACTCTCAAGAATCAAACCTGATCTTAGTGATGCGGTTCCGCCTGTTACCCTTCAAGTCCGTATGTTGTCTGATTTTCAAACTGCTGCAGTAAGTCAGCATTTCTTGTTTTATCAGCTTGAGCGCTAACCTATTTGGTTAGCCTGTTTGGCTGTATTGGAAATAGACCTTTTCTCTGTATTTTGTTTCTTAGATATAAACTTAATAAAATCATGATCATCCTCCAGTTTACACTATTGTTGTAACATCGTCTTTTAAGAATTTGTGTCACTCTTGAACTGTCAGTTTAAGAAAATATATTCCCTAAAATTTTATAAATTTAACTTAAAATTTTTACAAATTTGATTCCTCTGCTTCTGTTCAAAGTATCTCTGAGGTAAATGAGCAATATAGCTCTTCCGTATAGGACAAAGTTATTGTTCGTTGGTGAGGGTGCATGAGTAGAGGAGGGATGGGGAGCAGCCAGCCAGGAGCACCCCAACTTTGTATTCTATTTGGTATAGTGAAGAAATGACTAACATATATATTTTAAAATGTAACAAAGGCAGTTTCAAAGATGACTTTACCAAGTCATATTATTTCTCATGAGAGAGTAACGCTGTTTCTTGGAAGTCCCTGAAATGGTTTACATATTTACAAATAATGACTAAGTAAGTATTGTGCTGTATTGCTTTTCTAGTGGCTTTCTTGTCTGTCAGACTAAGATTCAGATTACTGTGAATATTGTTAGCATAGTCTGGTTTCATGTATACTAAATCAAAGTTCACAGAATTCATGTTCCCGGAGCTTTTCGTATTTTTAAAATTCTCACTATATTCAAAAGAAAGATAGCGGTTTAGTACTTCCTTGCATAATTTAGTCTTTGCTTAACTCCAACTTAGACTTAATGAGATCTGCACGAAATTTGCATGAACCTATCATCCATTCTCATTGCCCTTCAGAACTTCTGTAGAGTATTTGAATGCGTGAGCTATCTGTGGAGGGCTTTTGTTTTAAGGGTAGATAACCCCCAAAATTGAGTATTTTCCATAATCTTTGGTGTGACTTACTCAGACACTTAATTGCTCTTTTCTAGAATACTAAATTTTTAAGAATAAGAATATTTGGGGCCGGCCCGGTGGCACAGCCATTAAGTGCGAACCTTCTGCTTTGGCGGCCCGAGGTTCGCCGGTTCGGATCCCAGGTGTGGACATTGCACTGCTTGGCAATCCACGCTGTGATAGGCATCCCACATATAAAGTAGAGGAAGATGGACATGGATGTTAGCTCAGGGCCAGTCTTCCTCAGCAAAAAGAGGAGAATTGGCAGCGGATGTTAGGGCTAATCCTCCTCCTCAAAAAAAAAATAAGAATATAAGTTTTTAAGGGCATTGTAATAAATATTAAACAAAATGTTTGTTAGATTTTTGATTGAGATGTATTGGGTCTTCATCTTTTAAAATAAGGTTTTTGTTGTATGAGAAACAGCACTTTACTTTGAGGAGAGTTTTCTTGGTTACCATTCTAAAGGATTTACCTAGAACATGTTAATAATACTGAGGCTTCTTCCTTCCCCCCAAGCAAATAACATCATTACAAAAGTTTTTGAAGTTATATCTTTGTTATAACTCCTCAGATTTGGGAGAGTGGAAAAAAGAGAGGTACAGAGAAATTCTAGGCCATTCTTCTAGGAATGGGGGTAGAGAATATCTGTTTTTTAATATGTAGCTAAGACTACTTGGCCTTTCCTGTTTAGCGTATTGTTTTCAGGTTATTGTATTATATATTATATTCCTATACCTCAGCCACCTCACAATTCTGTCACTAAGTAGGAGGTGAATGAATCTTAAGATTTCTTTGACTTTGCTGTAAACCTTGGTATTTTCAGAATAGACTATGACTGATACATTTTAAGTTTTTTTTTTTTTAATTGGGTCTACAGTCCTGACTCTTTTTCTGCTTACCCAGACCCAGTTGTCATCACACAGGCTGGCATTATTCAGACAGCCTTTCACTGGTCAACCTAATAGTTAGCTCGCTGGTCAGCCTGATGTTACCTCTCAGCCAAGTCATCGCACACAGTGCTGCTTTCCATTAGCCTTCAGAAAAAGCCTCTTTCATCACGTCACTTCCTTTGCTAAAAAGTCTTAACAGCTTCCTCATTGTCTGGAAGATAGAAAGCCCTAAGTGGGTGGTGGCTGTTTTAAATTATTACTACAGTCCCCTATTCATTTCTTTCCTCTCCGAACTCTCCTAACTCTTCTTATCTTCACATAGTTAATCCTTGGTTGTGCATGATACCATTCTCAGTTTGGTCTTGTGTGAAAAGTATGAGCTTCCTAAATTGAAGGCTATCAATCATACTTTAATAAAATAATCCCTAAAGAGTTCAGTTAGCGAAATGCATTACATTATCTTCTGTGCATATGAATTATCAAGATTTTAGGGGGCCAGCCAGGTGGTATAGAGGTTAAGTTCAGTGCGCTCTGCTTCGGCAGCCTGAGGTTCGTGAGTTTGGTTCCTAGGCATGGGCCTACATCGCTCATCAAACCATGCTGTGGCAGTGACCCACATACAAAATATAGGAATGTTAGCTCAGGGCCAATCTTCCTCACCCGCCCCCCCCCCCAAAAAAAAAAAAAAAAACAAAAAAAGATTTTAGTTTCTACAGGTTTTTTTTTCCATACTTGGCCACAGACAACTGTATTATTGGAGTACCATTTTTAACTTCTAATAGGTATCCACTGAGTATACACTGTAAGGAGGAAAGGTAGCTCACATGCTTTTACACCATGTCAGTGTTTTCTTACATTTTAGTTTATGTCCACACTTAAAACTAGATTATTTTTTACCAAATCGGTGACAGTTATATCAAAGAAGTTGAGGTATTAAAAAAGAGACAAACTTGTCTTTAATGGCCAGGTATTTGAAATCATTTTCTTATGAAATATGAGACATTATTCTGTTCTTCTAAGTTGTTATGATTTTTGACTCTTGGAAGCTTAAAATAAAAACTTAACATCTTAAAATGAAATAACAGTTGAAGAGCGTTTTTATTCTCTTTCACATTTATTTGTTTATTTCCTCTGTGCGTAGTGCAGTTCTTCTGCTATTCTCACCACAAACTTAAGAAATATGGAAATTCCCAAATTTCCAAAGAAACTGGGTGCGAGATCAGAGAGCTTATGAACTGTAGTGCTGTTCACAGACTGGCTGATGCCAGCGCCTCCTAACTCTGCAGTGCTGAGGCTGCCGTCATTGCTGTCGTGCTCCTATACAGGTAGTTTAGGAAAGTGAAACAATTTTAAAAGTGGGTAAAACACTGAAATTATTAGCAGTAAATTATGACATAGTGCTGATAACAATTGTCAGAGGAAATGCTGTATCTACTATTTTTAAAATTTTCAAACATAGAAAAGTTAAAATACTAAAATACTAAGACCCTTCACCTAGATTCTCCAGTAATGGACATTTTTCCACATTGACTCTCCTTTCTCTCTCTCAACTGTTGGAAGATCAGTTTCAGACATCTTGGTAGCTTATCTCTACTTGAGCCTGAATTTCTTAAAAATAAGAATATTGTCCTTGTAACTATTATCACACCTAAGAAATTTGACATTAATTCAGTAACGTTATCTGTTATGCATTCCATGTTTCCCCAGTTATTCCAAAAATGTCTTTTATAGCTGATTTTCATTTTGTAATTTCCTTCTCCAATACAGTATTCAGTCAAGGTTTATTCTTTTGTATTTAGTTGTTATATCTTGCCAATCTTTTTTAATCTTTTTGTGTTGTTTTTTCATGTCTTTGACTTTTTTGAAGAGTCCAGGCCAGTTGTCTTTAGAATGGCACGCATTCCGAATCTGATTGTTTCTTCTTGATTAGATTTACTTGAGTTTATGTTAAGTGTTTTTGGCAATAATATGATATTTGTGATGATGTTTGCTTCTGATTACACTATATTAGAAGGCATCTAATGCCAGCTTTAAATTTCTGATCTATTAATTTTCAATTCTCAGCACTGAAGACCTAATTGTTTGAATTCTTTTTTCACTTTTCAAATAGACAACGACCGAACGCCCTTTCATTCAGAAGCTTTTTCGACCTGTGGCTGCAGATGGACAACTGCATACGCTGGGCGATCTCCTCAGAGAAGTCTGTCCTTCTGCACTTGCTCCTGAAGGTAATATAATCTGCAACATTAACACATTTCTTTCATTTCTCTTTGTTCCTGAGATAACATAAGCATTCTGGACTTAAAAATAATATTTACTGATTACTTCAGGAAATATTTTCATTATTTTGTAGGGAAAAATCTTTTAAAACAGAAGCACCTTATATTTAATTTATTATTTTGGAAATTGTTGACACTAACAAAATAAGGAATGGATTCTCTTTGGCAAAATAAAATATACCATTTTTAAATTACCCTCTCATCACATCTCTGGTACCCTGAGTCTTTCATTTGTGAGTTCAGTTCTGGTAAATATTTTAAATCTTGCATTGTATTTCTTCATTCTAAAGGAACAAGAGATGGTAAAAAAAAAAAATTCTTACCTTTTGTTGCTATTTTAAGTATAAAATATTGAATAGTGGATATGTATATTATTTCAGTTCTCTACTACTTTCTGATGTTTTACTCAGCATTTTTCTCTTAGGCTTTGAAATGTCACAGGTCCAGTCAAGAACTTGTCCTGTTTCATAGTCCTCATTTTGTAGCTTAGTTTAAAATTGTTTTCCAGTAGGCAAAGGAAAAATATAAAAATTGCTGAATTCTGTTTTCTTAATTGAAACATGAGGAACACTAAGAAAATGCAGAAACAGTAAGAAAAAAATACGCCGCAGTCCCATAACTCGTAGAGACCACTGTTGACACATGCACACGCATATGTACACTTGAATATTTGAGAGGGGTGTGTGTGTATTTATAAAATCATATGTCCTGCTGCTTTTTTTACCTAACATAATATGAGCATATTTTTAATCATTAAAAATTCTTTAAGGGCCAGCCCCAAGGACCTAGCGGTTAAATTTGGTGCACTCTACTTCAGTAGCCTGGGTTCAGTTCCCAGGCATGGACCTACACCACTTGTTTGTTAGTGGCCATGCTGTTGTGGCATCCTCACATACAAAAAGAGGAAAATTGGCAGTGGATGTTAGCTAAGGGCGAATCTTCCTTGGCATAAAAAAAAAAATTTCTTTTACAGCTATTTTTTTTAAATAGCACTAAGTTCCTTCATATCCATGTACCATCATTTGATCATCACTCTATTATTGAAAGACTTATAATCCTAATCCTATTAATTGATTACTAACCTCTGGGGGAAATATCAGTGGCATATTACTGTATTTGTTAATATATGGTATTTATTATGCAGTCATGTGCCACATAACAAACAATGTTTCAGTCAATGACAGACCGCATATGCAACAGTGGTCCCGTAAAGTTAGTACCATAGAGCCTAGGTGCATAGTAGGCTATGCCATCTAGGTTTGTGTAAGTACACACAATGATGTTCGCACAAGACAAAACTGCCTATCAGCACATTTCTCTGAATGTATCCCTGTCATTAAGTGACATGTGATTGTATAGAAAAAAAATTCAAAACTTGCTACTTTTTTAAATCCTTTATGGAAAGAAGTAAGTCGTTAATAAATATAAAATTAATACTTTAGGGGCTGGCCCTGTGGCCGAGTGGTTAAGTTTGCATGCTCCGCTTCGGCGGCCCAGGGTTTTCCAAGTTCAAATCCTGGGCGCAGACATGGCACCACTCATCAAGCCATGCTGAGGCGGCGTCCCACACAGCACAGCTAGAAGGACCTATAACTAGAGTATATGGCTATGTACCGGGGGGCTTTGGGGAGAAAAAAAATAAAATCTTTAAAATTAATACTTTAATAGATAATATTCTGTTTCTTATTAACATATTCTAAATGGGGTGATTGCAGTATTATTTACATGACTTGAAACTATATCTCACAGTTCAAGAAGCATGCAGTATCTAAAGAAATGGTTTGCCTAATAAATAGTAATAGAAACAGAGTGGGATTGGGGGGAATGTTGATATGTCAGCCTAAATGACTAAACAAAAAATATGGAGCTGAAAACATATGTCAGTTGATCTGCGAATACGACTATTTTCTTTAATCAAATATGCTTGCCTTTCCTGGCATTGCTGTGTGATCTAGCTTTTCTCTATGCACACAGGCTCAATAGGAGGGGTGAAGAGGGGTATCCAAAATACCGTCAGAACCAGCAGAAGGGATTGATGCCAAAGATCATTGACCACTGCCCAAAATTACTGAGCTTGAACAGGTTTCATTGATTTAAGAGGTTATCAGCATATTTTATGAGGTCTTACTGAGTCCTTTGTCGTCCCTGTACTCTACTAGACTGTAGTCAAGATTTTTGATAGTGTCTTACACGTCCTTGTGTCTCTAGTGCTAGGGTAAATGTTCACTCAATCTTCCGATTACTGAACTCTTTCTTTGTGTCTCTACTTAAAATATTATTTATGATCATTAAATTGTGGCATAATTAGCATTGTTGATTATAATACTATTGTAGAATCTTAATTTATCTTTGTTGCTGTTTAATTTTAGCTTTTAGTAAGAGTTTCAGTTAAATAATTTATTTGGCAACTCAGTGGTTTTTATTTTTAATAATTTGTAGAGTTCTGCAGCCATCACCATGGTCTAGTTTTAGAACATTTCGGTCACCTCAAAAGTTCCCTTGTGCTTGCTTGCAGCCAGTTTCTGCTCCCACTGCCAAGTGTAGACAACTACTGGTCTGCTTGGTGTCTCTGTAATTTGCCTCTTTTGGGTATTTCACATAAATGGAATAAAAAAAATTGCAAATGGTTTTTCACCCTGCATATTTTTGGGTTTCATCCATGTTGTAGCATGTATCAGCAGTTTGTTCCTTTTTGTTGCTATATAGTATTCCATTGGGTGTATAGATCACATTTTGTTTATTCATCCACCAATTGACGGGCACTTGGATTGTTTCTAGCTTTTCACCTTTATGAATAATGCTGCTATAATATTTGCAAGCCTTTGTGTGGGCATATGTTTTCATTTTTCTTGGATAGATTCCTAGGAGTGGAATGGCTGGGCCATATGATAAGTTTGTATTTAATATTTTTAAGAAACTGCTAAACTTTTACAAACTGGCTGTGCCGTTTTACAGTCCTGTGAGCGATATATGTGGGTTCTAGTTTCTTAACATCCTCACAAGCATATGTTTTTTGTCTTAACTATAGCCATCCTGGTGGTTGTGTAGTGGTATCTCATGGTGGTTTTAATTCTTATTTCGCTAATGTCTAATGATGTTGAGTGTGTTTTCATGTGCTTATTGTTTCTGGATATATTTGATGATATATCTATTAAAATCCTTTTCTTTCTTTTTTTCAGACTGTCTTTTTATTACTAATTATGAGAGTTGTTTATATATTCTGGATACAAGTCCTTTATCAGACATATGATTTGCAGTTATTTTCTTCTAGCCTGTGACTTGTCTTTTCGTTTTCTTTTGCAGTGTGAAAGTATTTAATTTTGATGATGTCCTATTTATCAAGGTTTTTTAATGTGTTGTGTTCAGTTAAATAAAATCTTTTTTTGTTTTATATTGTTCCAAAATCAAAAAGTATATAAAGGAATTTAGTGAAAAGTCTCTCACTCAGCTTCTATCCACCAAACCCTAATCCAGCTCTCCTTTCCAGAAACACCCAGTGTTGCCGTTTTCCTGTTTGTCCTTACACAGATAGTAAGGTCAACTTTTTATTTTTGAATTCAAGTTACAGATATTTTGAGTGGGAAATTCCCAGCAACTTTTATTGATTCCTGAATAATCTTACTGTTCAGTTCATTTTCTCCATGCTGTAAGTGTTTGTTTAATCTATTTAACGTCTATTTTGCTACATTCTTAAGGATTTGGGAATATAGACTAGTTTTTCCATTTGAAGTGTAATTAAGAGATTAATCATTTTTATTGCTAACAGAAATGGGACCCACAAGCCTTGTACCTACCCCACTGTAAGCACTGGCTTTCAGTTATTCATTTCTCTGTACTGTATTTTTATCCCTTTTTGAGTACTTTGTAGTATCTTAAAGAACTTTGAAAAACTGCTTTTATCAATTGGGTCATTGAAATTTAAACTAAAGCTTAATATTCAAATTGCTACCTCTCTGTTCTTTTCTTAGATATGTTTTTGGTGTTTGGTTTTTGTTTTTTTTTTTCTGGTAAGGAAGATTAGCCCTGAGCTAACATCTGTTGCCAATCTTCTTCCTTTTGCTTGAGGAAGATTGTCAGTGAGCTAATATCTGTGCCAATCTTCCTTAAGTTATTTATTTATTTTTTCGTATGTGGGACACTGCCATTGTATGGCTTGCTGAGCAGTGTGGAGGTCCACACCTGGGATCTGACCCCGCAAACCCTGGGCTGACAAAGCAGAGCATGTGAACTTGACTGCTGTGCCACTGGGCCAGCCCCTGGTGTTTGTTTTTGTGTTTTGCTGAGGACTGTTATTCCTGAGCTAACATCTGTTGCCAATCTCCCTCTTTTTTTCTTGAGGAAGATTATCTCTGATCTAACATCTGTACCAGTCTTCCTCTATTTTATACGTGGGTCACCACCACAGCAGGGCTGACAAGTCGTGTAGGTGTGTGCCCAGGATCCAAACCCGTGAACCCAGGCCGCCGAAGCGGAGTGTGCCAAATTTAACCATTAGGCCCTGGAGCTGGACCCTCATAGATATTTTTTGACCATCTACTTTCAAAAACATTATGTCATTTAAAATTTACTTCTTTATAAGATCTTTGACTATTGAAAGAGAACATCACAATGGAACTCAAAACCTTTCAAGAAAACTGCTCTACCGTAATGATCTATCCGCCAATCAGCAGCATAACTGTCAACAAAAACACAGAATGAAAAGAGAAAACTTACTAGAGGAGAGCGGGAAGCAATTGGTTGGGTGTTAATTTTGTGTTTGACATCTTTAAAGAATCATATAACTGTAGAACCGTAGAGTTAATTTAGTTCAGTCTCAATTTTTTAGATTTGTCAAAAGTCTCTTAGCTACTTAATTGCAGAAACTGGGTTTAGAACTCCAGTCTCCATCTGCTGGTCCATTGTTTTTTCCACTTTACTGTGCTACCATTTGTTTGCATTTTCACTTTTGCAACCTTTGAACTTCTTTGTTTAGTTTAAAATAACATTCTGAAATGTTTTCTTTTTCCTAACTCTTTATTCTGTGGTTTGTGTTTTAGTACCTAATCTTGCCTTTATAGTATTTTGTGATATTATCTTAGCCCGGACTTCTACTTTTGTTATTTTAGATTTCCTGGATTATATAATTCCGGTCACTCTTCTCGTTGAATTTATTAAAAGGGTAGCTGTGACGTTCAGGCATGTAGATGGAAAGCAGTCATGTGCTTTGAGCTGATACACTCTGTCGGAACGCACCTGCATGCTCTCTTGCCATTCCTGCACCCGGATCACAACAGTACTTAGAAGATTAACATGGGCCTGCACAAGAGTGGCATGCAAATTTGTGTGGCTTTTTATTGTTTTTATTTTTTATTGCTTTTATTTTATTTTTATTGTTTTAAAGACTCTTTATTCTCTCCTAAATTTTGGTGTGCTGTATCTACCTGCACATCTATTCCTGAAGAAGACACACTGTCATTTCCCTTGCATTTTTTTGAAGCGAGGGCTGTGAGGTGGCCAGCCACTCACAACTCTGATCCACAAACCTGCCTCTTAGGTGATTTCAGATACTGTACGTGGTTATCTTTGTGTGCCAGACTGCTTCCTACCCAAACGGTCACGTGCTTATATTGATCGGAGAACACACACATACCACACACCCTTCATTGAAATGATATAAATAGCACCTATACTTTTGATGGTAACTTCCACACCAGGAGGAGGCCACATTTCTAACACTAGTATCTCATCTGGAAAAACTTGTATTTGCCTCTTCCTTTTGTCACCTCATACTGGAAAATAACTGTCATTTCAGGATCTCTGGTGAGTATCCAAAACATCAAGTCACTGTTTCAGTAAAGAACTGTTTATTGTCGGCTCAGTACACCTGTGGTATTGTCAAACATGAAGCATTTTGAAACACCTGCACCCAACTTAAGTTGAAAGCGAAAGACGTTAAGATTGGGTGTGTATGGATAAGAACTGGCTGTCATCACATGATAAAAAGAGAAAGTACTTCATAAAAGTTATGTGGCACCATTGTCTACTACTCCTTGCAACAAGTGATTCATGCATGAAAGAATTTTAGCTTATTTCATCATATGAAAGTAGAATGTGCTAATATTTATGAAGACGTGCTTTAGGTCATTGTTCTTGTGGAGTAATTAATGATGAGCTGCTGTGCTTGTTTCTTTTTTTGTTTTGTTTTGTTTTCTAAGTGGCTAGAGGAGTTAGCCAAGTTAGAGGGAACCAGGAATAACCAAAGGTGAGCTCAGCTAAATTTTTCCTGTGGTGTTAGCTGCAGTTAAAATGACTCAGCTAAGCTTCTGTACCAGACCTGAAGTAAAATATTTTTTTCTTTGTTCATTAAAAACAACATACCAAAACCCAAAAATTTACAACCTTATCTTTTTCTTTGTTTGTTTTGAGGAAGATTAGCCATGAGCTAACATCTGTGGCCAATCCTCCTCTTTTTGCTGAGGAAGACTGGCCCTGAGCTAACATCTGTGCCCATCTTTCTCTACTTTATATGTGAGACGCCTGCCACAGCATAGCTTGCCAAGCAGTACCACCTCCGCACCTGGGATCCGAACCCACGAACCCCGGGCCACCAAAGCGAAACATGCGCACTTAACCGCTGCACAACCAGGCCGGCCCCTGAAACTGTATCTTTTATTCTTTTACTTTGGAGAGTACAAAACATCTATAAGTTTTGCCCGATTATATTTCATTTCTCATTCTAATGTAACGTATAAAAACCTAGTAAGTTAGACTTAGGATAAAATGTCCGTTTTTGCTTTTATAAATTTATTTCAAGGTTCTGGTTGTCAGTCCTTTGTGACAGTTGGGCTGTTGTAATCCTGAGTCCACATTTAATATCGTACAAAAAGGCTTCTGTTCCATGACAGATTAGTAAAGCCTCCATGCATCTCTCCTACCAGCAAGTACCCTGTAGCCATTTGCATTTTTCCATTTCCATTGCTACTCTGCTTACTGGGAATTTATTTACTCCTTGAGACCTTTCCCAACTACCACTTAACTTTGAGTTTCCATTTGATGTTGTAGATTTCATTATTTGTCAGTCAATTGCTTTGCATTATACTGTCTTCTGGCACTGGGCATACTAAGATGTGTAAGACATAGTTCCTGCTTTTAAGAAACTTTGGTACCATTGGAGTGGGCAAAAAGATGCCGAGATGTGGTGTGTGCAGTAATGGAGATATTTGCAAAGAATATTAGGAAGCACCTAGAATTGCTATCTTATCTGTTCTAGAGGAGGTAGTGGATACTATGCTAAGTCTTAAAAGATGAGCAGAAATTAGCTGAAAAGGAGGGACCAGGTCATACATACCACATGACCACTGTAGAAGTAGAATTCTTCACCAGCTACCCAGGGACTGGTTGCTAAGGGGCAAATCTGATCTGAAATGCTGGTCTATGGGGTCGGCCCTGTGGCCGAGTGGTCAGCTTCATGCGCTCCGCTTCGGCTGCCCAGGGTTTGCCAGTTCAGATCCTGAGCACAGACCTACACACTGCTCATCAAGCCATGCTGAGGCAGCATCCCACATAGAAGAACTAGAATGACTTACACCTGGCGTATACAACTGTGTACCGGAGCTTTGGAGAAAAAAAGAAATGCTGGTCTAGAATTTCCCTATTTTATTTGCTGAGGAACAAGTCATATTTTTCTACTCCTCTCCCATAAATGTGCAGAAAATTTTCAATGATGTCAGAAAAGCACTGAGGAACTAAGTGACTAAGGTTGATCTGTTATTTGCTTGGTTAGTACATTGAAAGATAATTATAACAACTTGAGGCTAAGGAAGTCATAATATCCCATTTAGGTAGTCTAAATTATACTGCTTTATTTTAGATATGCTTTATGAGAAACCAAAGAATAGGTTTTATAAAAAGTAAGAAAAGATGATGTATTCACATTTTTTCTCCTTTGCTTTATAACATATGATTAGATTGTGTTTATAAAGTGAATTAACTGATGTTACAATAGATTTTTTTAGACATAAAGCAATTAGAGAAAAGGAAAATCTAAATATCATGTTATTCATACAAGGCAGATACATCAGGTGTCAGAATTAAAGCTGGTTGATTGATGTCTTGTGATTTGAAGTTTGAACCAGCAAATAGTCAGTTTTGTCAGCATGATGACACTGACCCCCCAAGAGGTAGCATTTCATTTCACAGATTCTCACCACAGAAACATAAAACCTACAGACACCCAAACTTCATCAGAATGAGGGTTTAGGAGTAAGAATAATAATGGTTTTACAATTTCAGTAATTCTTTTACTCATGAAGAATTTGTTTTCATTCTTGTATCCCTTTGTACCTTCTCACTGTTTGATTTGGAAGATCGTTTAGTTGTTTTGTTGTTGTTGTTTTTAATGGATCCAGGTTTCTTATTCTGTAAAGTAAGGATGTTTCCTGCTAGTAGCCTCATAGGATAGTTGTAGGGTTTAAATGAACAAAAAATTCAAGTGAGTTTTTATAGTCTCATGGTTTTCCAAGGCTTTACAGTGAGCATATTTTTTGGTTTTTTTACAGTTCTGTTGTTTTTTTAAAAAATAACTACACTCCTAAGAAATTTACAAAGTGAGGTTAGAAAGAAGTAGTTTTGTTTTTCTTGTTGTTGTTTGTAGATAATCCCACTCCGAAGAGACAAGGACTTGATGTTCAAGCCTGTGCACAGAAGGTATAAATACACGACGAAACTGATATTAGAACTGCTTATACCTGATTGTGGCAAGAGTTCCGTGCCACTGGTTGTTACTCTTTTTTGGAAGGTAACTTCTGGACATGATTAGAGATGATGGAAGTATGGCTCTGACAAGGAAGAAGCAAGCGTATTTTACTAAGGCATCTCCCTAGTCGATGTAGCCAGCTCGATTATCATAGACCTGTTAAAATATATTAAATGTAAAAATCTCAAGGCAAGAGGTTTGAAAGTGTTGCTGCTAGTGAAAGTTTTTCATTGAAGACTATGAGCAACAGATTGCACCTTTGTTTGAAGTTTCAGCTATTCACAAGTAACCCTGGAAGGCCCATTTGTAACTACTGAGAGCCTGGCGCGTGGGACTGCATCACTGGTCACTCGCCCTTTCAGTGTCATCCTAACGCTCTCTGCTCTTCATTGTTTTCTCTCCCTCATAGGATGTGTGTTTTGTGTATATATGAAAAAAAGATAGTGCCATTCATAGTGGGAATTCAAAAAAAGTTCTTCAAATGTAGCCCTTGTGAGCAAGGATTACAATACTCAAGTTTGGATAGAAGCAGTTTGTTAGGCTCAGTTTAAACTTGTTAATTATGATGTATTTTCTTAAATTTATCATTGTGCTGTCAAATTCTAAACTAAAATGAGTCCAATTCTTTGCCTTGATTGTTTCCTTCTCTCTTTATCTCTGTGGTTTGTCCCGACACATGGGCAATCTTGATGATACTGAATCTGTTAATGACTTAATCCATTGACATTATGTCTTTTCTACAATCATAGAAATAATAAACTGATTATTTTTGTTATTTTCCATTAAAAAAGGTGATGAGATTACCCAACCTGTGAGAAGATGCTTCTGATTTCTCCTCAGTTATTGTTCTTTATCTAAATCTCAAGATGTTAAGTGAATTAACGTGACTTTTTCCAAAGAATAGACACTTGCACAATTCATATTACATCTTTAGCACTAGACAAAAAATTCTCTTAACAAAATAATGAACACATACAGGCAGTTTAAGCTACACATCTCTTCATTAAAACAAGTCCTGTGAGACCTCAGTCTGCCCCTTTCAACAGTGTATTTGTTGCCTGTATTTTAAATAAAACAGTTAATTCTGAACTATTCTGTGATGCATACTTGACAAATGTGAATGAGCCCTATTAAACCCAACTAGAATTAGTGGCTCATTTTATGAAAGCAGATCAAAAACATTTGAACCTATATTATCAAAATTTTATTTTGCTTTTTGGGTTTTTTAAATGAACTAGTTTTAATTTCTAACTTTTACCACATTTTTATCTTATCAGGAGGCTTTTAATCAGTTTATTAAAATGGTCTTACAGTCACTTAATACAATTTTCTTTTTATAATTATAGCTAATTATATGGGATTTTTTTTTTTTTAGTTTAAATTTTGGTTTATGTCCTCATTAAGAAATACAAAGATTACAAGCAAAAGTCAATGAAAGAATTAACATGGACGCGTGTTTTGAAAATCTTCTTTTAAATGTTAAGAACCGAGGCTCCGGAAATATTTGGGGCAGAAATAATTTTTTTAAGTATATAAAATATAAAGTTTATACATGGAAGGACCTATGTAGTATATATTAGCTGTGATATTGTATTTTCATTAAGACCTGGACTGCTAAGTGAGTATAGATCCGGAAGAAGTTAATGTAAGTATTTTTAAATGGGTTTGTATTTCTCTGATAAACAGCACTCTCCTTCTGTTTGTGATCATAGGATAAAAGCCCTGTGCGCTTGTATATGTTCATTTTTACTGCTACATCATGTAGTGTGCTCTTAAGATTGAGATCTCATTCCCCAGGAAGCGTTTCTGTCTAAGATTAATTGCCCTTTTAAAATCAGCGTTTGATGTATTCCTTTGGCTATATCCTGGCTTGGTTTAACCCTCTTTGACCTGACCTCACTGACTATTATGGCCGAGGCCGAGTCAAAATCCTTCAGCATGATGTATGCACCTCAGATTTCTGCCTGTGGTTTTTCATGTCGATGGATTCAATTAGTTGGCATTTTACTAATGAACATATCAGAGGTTAAAGAATTTGTCAGACAGAACAAAATTGTTCCAACTAGTGGTAATCAAAAAGCTCCTCTCTTTATTTGTTTAAAACTTTTTCAGAAATGTTCAGTATTTTTCAGAAGTTTTACCTTCAGCATCACCCATTCCAAGATGGCAAATCAAGTCATTTTCTGCAGATAATAGTTATGAAGTATAAATGTAAAGCCACAAAACTAAACACCATGGTTATAACGTTTGGCCTTACATCTCTATTTTCCACATTCACAAGAATAAAGTAAAAACAAATGTTATTAAACTGAAATTTTCTGATTAAAAGCATTTTCCCTTGAAGGTATACTGTAGATTTCTTTAGCTTCAAATTCAAGGAGATTTCACATATTTAGTATATTTATTAACAGTAAAAATGAAACTCATACATATTCTCTAGAATCTCAAGTAACCTATTTTTAAAGACATTTAGGTCATATTCCTTGCTGAAGTTTGGCCAAAAAATAAGGACTGAAAGGCAGATTGGAAAGGGGAATGTTATGAGCCATCGCTAATAGAACTCTCTAAAAGGCAGTCATCACATACTATGAATTCTCAAATAATGATATATTTGAAAATAGATAACAAAGATTTTGGGTTTTCCCCCCCACACCTGAATGTTTTCATCTTTTTTGAAAACTAAGAACCTTACCTAAACTCTGTTTAACAACATCACGGCAGTACAATAGGGCTCATTTGACTTGTCGACGATGCGCTCCACCAAATGTACATGTTGAGAGCACTACTAACTTAATCCAGACCTTTTTAGATAACTTCAGGAATTTTTTAAAATGTCATTCATTTTGTTGTCTGCATAATGATTGAGTCTTTGGGGTTTTGTTGTCTTTTTTTTTTCTTCCTTAACACATTCATGAAATTTACATGCCACACTGCATAATAATGGAGCTGAGTAATTCAGTGTATATATTGACATGAGGCTAAATTCTCACAATGCTTTGCATGCCAGTCACGTAATTGAATCCACGGTTTTTATATACCTTTTGATGTACTTAGTACTAATAAAATTACCTTATTCCCATCACTGTGTGTGTAGGAAGAGAATTACAATGAGTGTTTAATTTTTGTTGCTAAATCATGATGTTTTAAAAACTGGTCTTCTGGGGGCTGGCCCCGTGGCCGAGTGGTTAAGTTCGCGCGCTCTGCTGCAGGCAGCCCAGTGTTTCGTTGGTTCACATCCTGGGCATGGACATGGCACTGCTCATCAAATCACGCTGAGGCGGCGTCCCACATGCCACAACTAGAAGGACCCACAACGAAGAATATACAACTATGTACCAGGGGGTTTTGGGGAGGAAAAAAAAAAAGGAAAAAAATAAAATCTTAAAAAAAAAAAAAACAACTGGTCTTCTGTCTTTGCTTACTCTATGAGTTTTTTGATACTTTTATTTTTTAGGGAGTGAACAGGAAGGAGGTGTGGGGAGGAGTCACTCACTCGATTGAATCCCTCCTGTGTCCAAGCCCTGGGCTGGGCTCTGTGCTGAGCGCTCCACCCAGACATCCCATTCAATCCTCCAGGCAACACTGGAGATGAGACTTCTTCGTCCACACTAGAAAAGGAGGAAACTGAGACTCAGGAGTTTAAGCAATTTGCCTAATAATTCAAAACTAGTGAGTTATGCTGATTAGAACTGTTAGGCATAAAAGACTCAGAGAGTAGAACTGGAAGACCTGTATTCTAGGCCAGCGGTTTGCAAACTGACCTGTGAAGTTCTATCAGAAACCACCGTGGATCGTAAATCAGGAAGCAGCAGGACTTGGGAGATGGGCTCAGTCCCACATCAAAGCTGCCCCACCTTCCTCCTGTGTTTTATATTGGGTTTCTGTGTAAGATTTTGTTTGAAGAAAAATTCTACACCTGTGTTATCGTAAGCTTTATTCAAGAAAACATTTAAAAACAGACTTTACTCCAGAGATTGACTCAGAAGGTCTGGAGAGGGTCCCAGCTTATATATTTTTTAAAATCTTCCAAATGATTCTGATGGTCAGACAGATTTACAAACCATGGATCTAGACGGACACCTTCATTTTATATATACAGAAATACCCTAAAAGCTATGAGGCCTGCCCAGAGCCCTTCATTACAGAATGAGAGGTCAGGTTGCCTGCCTCCCAGTTTGTCTTTCAGTAGCACCTTGTTGACTATCAGTGCCTAGTTGGCCCTTTCTCCTTTATGTCTCATTTATATTATTGTATATCATTATATTCATTGTGTGTGTGTGTGTGTGTAGACATCATTTTTTATATATATTCACGTAAGTTACCATTGTTTCAAGTTGATAATTTTCATTGATGACTTGTGTGGATAATGTGAATTTTCTTTTGTTTCTTTTTGCTTCTGTATGTAATTCTTACCATTCTAATCATGCAACCAAAATCTGTTTGAATGTATTTTTCTTAAAATGTCATACAACTCTAAAATGCTCACTTTAAAGTAGATGCTAGTTAAGAATTGAATTTTTGTTAGGCTGTTGGTACTAATACAAAATTATGTGATACTTTTATAATACCTGGACTTATAAATAAGATAAATTTAGGAAATGAAATTTTGTTGTGATACTCTCTTTATTGCTATTTGATCTCCTCAGATTTAATATCTAACTCTAAAAGTGAATTGAATTCCTCCTCTACCTAAAGAAAATACATGTTTCTAACATTTGTTTCTGGCCTTTTCCTTAATTCACAAACCCCAAATATTTATGAATGACTATCCTTATATTATTTACAAGAAGAATTAAAATAATCAGGTTTAAAAATCATTATGTGGACATTCTACAAAATGATGGTATGTACTCTGCAAAATTGTCGTGGTTAAGAAATGCAAAGAGGGGCTGGCCCCGTGGCCGAGTGGTTAAGTTCGCGCGCTCTGCTGCAGGCGGCCCAGTGTTTCGTTGGTTCGAATCCTGGGTGCGGACATGGCACTGCTCATCAGACCACGCTGAGGCAGCGTCCCACATGCCACAACTAGAAGAACCCACAACAAAGAATACACAACTATGTACCGGGGGGCTTTGGGGAGAAAAAGGAAAAAATAAAATCTTTAAAAAAAAAAAAAAAAAAGAAATGCAAAGAAAGGCTAAAAACTGTCCTGATTAAAGGAGAGTTTAGAGACATGAAAATTAAATGCAATGTGTGATTCCTGGACTGGTCCTATACTGGAGAAAAAAAATAGTTGGGATAGTTGATAAAATTCCACACCGTAGTAGTCGTGTTACACTGTAAATTCTACTATTCCATTGTAAGTTCTACACTGTAATAGTAGTATGTCAGTGTTAAATTTTTTTATTTTGATAATTGTACTGTGGCTATGTAAAAGAATATCTTTATTAGAAAGTACAAGCTAAAATATTTAGGGGTAAAGGACTCAGTGTTTGTAATTTACTCTCAAATGATTCAGAAAATAATTATACACACAGAATGATAAAGCAAATGGGGCAAAATGTAAACAATTGATGAATCCGGGTGAAGGGGAATTCCTTGTACTGTTCTTGCAACTTCTCTGTAAGTTTGAAATTATATCAGAGTTACCCCCCAAAAGTGTCATGTATGAGAGAATTTCATATAGAACTACTTCACTTAATTACTGCCTCAAATGTTTGCTTACTTTAAAGCATCAAACTAACTTTTAAAAAAATCTGAGTGGGTGAGGTGTGGAGTAACATTTTTCTCCTGAGTCATTTGCTTATTCCCAAGTATTAAATTCTAGATTCCTATTTTGAAACACAAAGATGTATTTACCAAAAACATGAT